TTGTTAGAAAGAAAAATTGTCAGTATTAAATTGCTTTTCGTTTCTTAGTATAGTTTTGTGTTAATGTATCATCAAAGTAACATATAATCTCTCTAAAAGAAAAGAAAAAAAAAAAAGGTAACATATAATCTTCTCTCGCGGTGCTACTGCATTTATATAATGGAATAGAAGAAGCGTTTGTGTTTGTATCATCTTCAGTTACCTGAAAATAAGGCAGTCAAAATGCAAACTTTACTTTCTATTCAGAACATAATGTCTGAAAGGATGTAGGAGCTGATTGATTTCAAAGGAAAATCTGATAAATTATAGGATAATACTATGTACACACTTGGCCGTTACACACCTCTTTACACCCATTAACTCTGTTACTTTCCATTTCGTTAACTACTAGACGCATCCAAGACAACGAAGACAGACTGAAACCTACAATTTCATCCTCTTCACCCAGCGTTCTCTGATTTTCAACCCTTCTTCCTTCTTTTCTCTCCTCCTCCTTTCTTTTTTTTCTTCTTTCCCTCTCCTCCCCTCTTCTTCCTTCTCTTCCCCCCTCTTTGGTCTGTTGAAGGGTTCCAAGTAGAACCCAGATCTGGGTTCTCCTTTAGAACCCAGATCGGGTTCTTGGAGAACCATCTGGGTTGATTGTTCTCCAAGAGAACCCAATGGAGATGTAATCTACCTACCTGCTTATAGGCTTTAATCACATTATCATAAAAAGTATTCTTGGTTAAAAGAGAAATATATATACACATACCACATGATTCTTTCTTCAGAACCCAGATCGAGTTCTTGGAGAACCCAGATTTGAGTTCTCTCTCCAAGAACCCGAACCCATCTGGTTCTTCATAAGAAGGACGATGACGAAGAAGAGAGGAAAAATAAAAATAAAAAAAGGGAAAGAAGGAAAGAGGAAGAAGATAATGAATTTTTATAAATTTTTGTTAAAATTTTTGCAAATTTGATAATATGGTGTGTTGTTTGGTTGATAAGAAAATTGTTTGGTTGATTAGGATGAGGATGGAGGTAAGGAGGAAGATGGATGGTTCATGAGGATGATGAACATCAAAGGAGAAAGGAAAGGAGAGAGAGAAAGAAAGGGTTACGTTGGGAACGAAGTTGAGGGTGTAATTAACAAAAAGTGAAGGGTGTAACAGAGTGTGTAGGAATAGGTGGGTGACTCTATCATTGTCCTAAATTATATATACCCTTTACAGAGGTAGAAAATGAAATCTTTTCATATAATTTGCAGTACATAGAGATGAAAGTGATAAACATAATGCAGTTGTGCAGTTACAGAAAGAAAAAAGAAAAAAAAAAAAAAAAGACTGTAAATTTATGATTAAATCCTTTTCATAATTTCTTTAGAAATTGCATCAATAAAATTTAGGTTATAAGCATAAAGGTTGCTTCACAACCACACAGAATATCAATTTATGCGGTTCAAAAGAAATGAGTAAACAAGACAAGATCGAGTCACACCATTACTTCTCGAAAGCACACAACAACAGATTGAAAATACTGACATTCCTTGACAACAGAAGTAATAAACTGATATCAACCTATTATTATTGGCAACACAGAGTAAACTGCCACCAAATCGGTGATTTGTCTTCATAATTCAAACCCTTCAAGGCAGAAAACTACATCGCAGAACAGACAGCATTTAAATGTTACATACTACACAAAATCTTAATCATTCATCTCTCCATTTTTAATAGTTGAGATTTATTTATTATCATATTTATTATAGATAATTATTATAATGAAGATGGAGAAAGTGAATCCTAGATACAATACCTTCCCAGTTATTATCATGAAGATGTAAAAGAGTCACCTATT